ATAGGTTCTCCTATAAACACCGTCTATTTTAATTTACTTTTTTTTTAATGTCTTCTAGATCATCGATTCAAACAGATCCAAATCCAATCTAGATTACCGATCTCGTGATGGGACACGAATATGTAGTTGATCGATCCATGCCACCATTCAGGTTTTGAAACACTAATTTTATTTGGATGGTGCGTGGTATATTCTATCTTGGGAAAAGTTTATATAGAGCCGAGGCTATAAACAATCAAGTTGGAGCCTATCTCAAAAATTTCGATAGAAAAGATTGTTTTGATGCCCAAATAGCCTCAAGTTGATTATCTCGTCATCGAGATGCATGGACATGATAAAAAATGGATTTCAAGTTTTGGAAATAGTGTATTTTTTAATGCATTTTTGGACTGTCAATTTTCAAGTTTTCATAGATCTAACGGTCCACACTATTTTTGAAGCTTTAAACTTTATAAATAAATATGAAAATATATTTTAAGGGTATAACAAATAGGGAAAATTACAAAACCCCCCAATATAAACTATCTATTCAACTTACCCCGATCCAAGTTTATTCTTTCACCTTTTTCGCTTCAACAACTTATCTTCGCAAACCCACCAAACCCAAAAAGAACTAAAAAAAAGAGAGAGTTTAAAATACCCTTTTTGATACGCTCTCTCTCTCTCTCTCCGGCAACGAAGACATCGCGCTTCGGCGATTGATTACATCTCTCCGGTGGTACAAAAATGCGCTCTGGCGATACAGACATTCGCTCCAGTAGTACACTTGCTGGAGCCACAGCGCTCCGGCAGTGTGGTAGTTCGCTCCGACCGTAGACGAATTTGCTCCGGCATTACGTGATCTCGCTCCGGCAGTACACCTTTTTGAGACATTTCGCTCCGGCACTCTATGAATGCGCTCCGGCAGTAGGGTCGCTAGAACCACAATACTTCGGTAGTCCATTAGGGAGTTCCAGCAGGGTTTTCAATGCTCAGGCGGTAGATGAAGGCGCTCCGACAGTATACCTTCTGGAGCCACAACGCTCCAACAGTACCTATTCCGATCTAACAATCATTACAAAGCTCTCCGGCAGTGTTATTCTACGCTCCGAAAATACGGAACTTGGGATTGCCCGTTGAATTTTTTTTGTATGATAATAATATTTCCGTCCAAAAAATAACAACTTTTTACCTTGGGGTTTTTACGAAGAAAAATTATTGTGGGAAAAAAAGTAATAAAAAAGGTCTGCTGCGGTAAGTTGCGTAAATAATTCATTTTAAGAGATTTTTCTATAATCTTTCCTAACAAATATTTCTCGCCACTATTTGAAGGTAGGCTCTAATTTGATTGTTTAGAGCCGAAGCTCTATACAAAACCTAACCTTTCTATCTTTCCTAGTTGCACCTCATAATTAATGTTCGTTGAACAAGCAATCTCTCCTCTCTCTCTTTCTCCAACATATGAAGTGACATAAATCCCTGTCACTTATCCCCACCTCACTGTCACTTATCTTATTTTTTTCTATTTTTATGGGAATTTTATACCAGTGAATTATATCCGCATTACCATCAAATTAACAACAATTGAAATTTAAAATCTAAAGTTAAGCAACTGGTGAATAACGAGAATTCGAAATTAGAAGTTACCGATAAAAAGTAAGAAGCGTCTCCCAAACTGCTATTTCCCCTTTCAAAGGATACTATGATTCACCGCAAACTTCTCTCTACAATTTTTTTTTAATAAAATCTCTCTCTCCAGTCTCTCTCTCTTCTGATACCACCCTCTCTTAAAACGCACTCCCCCCTCTCTCTCTCTACCATGCACACACACTTCCTCTCTCCATGAAACACACTTTCTCTCTCTATGAGGCACATTCACGCTCTCTATCAAGCACTTTCTCTCTCTTCCCCACACACCAAATCTCTCTCTACAGTACGTCTCTCTTTCACTATGAGATAACGAAAATATAAAAGAAACCTGCAATGAAATCTGCACTCTCTCTCTCTCTCTCTCTCTCTTTTAGAAGCCTGCAATTAACACAAATTTCTCTCTCCTACAAGCCTGCAATTAACCCAAAATTTTCTCCCTATCTCTCCTCTCTTTCTTTCTCTCTCATGAAAGGAAGGAACCTGCAATAAAATGACACTTCTTAGGCACCCGGATCCTGGCTATGTCCACATTTAATAGGGCCTCATTTCTAGGAGGCTTTTCTCTCTCCTCATTTAAGTTTAACCATGTGCACATCCATCTCTTGAAATATTTCACAATGGAATTTTGCAATGGACGGTTGTGATCGGCTCATCAAATAGTAGGCCTTCTCTTTGCACACCAGGCTACAAAATGGAGAAACGAAAACATTGCCAGTCACGAGCCTCGCTTTGACAAATAAGAAGTTGAGCTCAGAAGACCAGTACCAAAATTGAGGCTTTCTCTCTCTAGAATTGAAGAAATGGGATTTTGCTCTTGCTTTTCTTAGATTTGAAATTTCGGTTTTTTTTATTCTCTGAAATTCGGCTTCTGATTTGGTGGAAATACATTCAAAATAATGTCGCGTCATTAAAGTTATGTGATATGGGGCTAAATTTAGGGTTTTTTTGTGCAATTCATGACGAAGGAGGGTTCTTTTGGTGTGCTTTGTGGTGAATAAGAGTTTTTTTTGTGGTTTTTGGGTTGAATTGGTTTTTTTTTTCTTTTTTTTTTTTGAGTAATTCAGTGGGGAAGATAGCCCCTACCCGTGTTTTCAAAAGATTAGGGTGTTACATATTTTAAGGTGTTAATTGGGGGTGTCAGCAGTAGAAAAGGATACCACGATGTGGTAACTGGGTGTGGGAATGCTACCACCACGACCCCAGCCCGTTTCCTAGGTTGAATTGGGTTTTGCAGTAAGAATGGTTGATTAAGGGCTGAACTAGGGGATTTCCAGATTTGTAAGGTGAATTAGGGACTTTTTGGCGTAATTTAGCGATGAATTGGGGCCCCATTTATGTGATTTTGGGCTTGAACTGGTTGTTTTAGATGTCGTTTTGGGGGGAATTAGGTTTCTTCTTATTTTATTTTCCTGGTTTTATTTATGGGAGGAGGGGCATGAAATCTTCAACGTAGGGATGCGATATTTGAGAGGAATTAGGGGTTTTGTGGTGAATCATCGTCACATATGTTTCGGCGTCTCAGACATTTCATTGGGACTCTGAATGCGAAGGGAGGAGGAGGTGCCAATGCGAAGAGGTTGCTCGCTGTGAGGCCAAAACAGGTGCAGGTGGAGCCGGCTATGTTGGAGACTGTACAAGAGATCGCTGTCTATATACATAGATTCCATAATCTTGATCTTTTTCAGCAAGGGTCTCTTCGCTCTCTCTCACTCACACGCTTCTGTTTTTTGCTTTCCATGTCTTTATTTGGAATTCCAATATGCCTCTTAGTTCTTTATTAGTATTCTAGATTCTCTCTCTTCTATTTTCTTTTTGATGCTTTTGCAGGTTCCAATGTGCCCCTCTTATTTTGATGATTGCAAAAATATTCTTTTTTTTCTTGCTTTTTTTTTTTTTTTTGAAAGTTCTTTACTTGGTATGTTTTGCGAGGATTTGAATCATGGTATTGCTTGTATTTAGAAAAATGAATTATTGGTTCTTGCCTATGATTACTACATTTCTCCTTCTTTGAGGAAATAAAATGTAATTGGCTAGTGTTTATATAGGCGATCTTGATTTTTCTACTTGTTTGTTCCTGAGAAGTCCTGAGAAGTGATATTGTTTTCATGCTTGAATGTGAATATGCTAGTTTCTGTGATCTCTTTGGTCATTGACAAAGTTGCTCGATTTTATATACATGGTTTCATATAATGTTGAATTATGCAATTTTATTTTATTTTACTTTATTTTTTTTCAGATTATCTTGTCATTTTCAGATGGACTTATCTGGTTGTTGGTCTTACACAGATGGTATCAAATAAAGCTCAGCATGCGATGGGAGGATGGTGGTCGCGAATTGCCTGGAACACCAGCTCGTGTGGTTCAATATGAAGGTGGAGTTTTAAACTAAGGTCTTTTTGCTTGGCGTCTTGCATGCTTATGATTCAAATTTTGGGTAACAGCTTTTATGTGTTGGTACCCTAAATTTGAAATGGCCCGTCAGATGAGAATGACTTATCATTTTCTTTTGGAACCAGTTCACTGGTTTGTTTTTCCTTAACACTACGGCAAATAATAATGTCTGTATATCATGTGATACTTCTTGATGTGGCCGAAATTTTGGAGACTGGATACTTCAAATGCTTAAACGATATGCATGCATTGGATGACATTTCTCTGCTTCTCTAGATTCTGGGTTTTTAAAGTCTTGAAGTTTGATATTCAAGCAACTTCCCCAGAAATTGGACATTGGTATACAACATGAACGAGTTGTACTTGCTCACACAGTCACAAAGTTGTGAGTCTTTTGTATTTTCCAATCCAATGTTTTTCACTCGCCTCGGACCTTGGACTTGCCCCTGGCCTGAGGTGAGTAACTCAGCCGACTCCAAGTGGACTCTGCCAAGTCCAAGTGGACAGAAGTGAAATAAAACAAAAGGCAACACAAAAGTCCAAAAAAATAAAAAATATTTAAAAATGGATTTAAAATTTATGGTTGGTCTTGGAGAGAATGAATCTCACATAGAGAATGAGCCTCTCATAGAAGGACGAGACTGAGAAATGTCCAGAGGGGTTGGGCTTCCAAATGATACTGTCATACATTATTGTCAACACCAGTGTCAACACCATTGGCAGGTACGAATTTCTTTTCATTCACTATAGCTTCATTAATTTTTTAAAAATTTATTTATTAAGATTTTTAGTATTTGGCTGTTAAAAATTCATTAACTATAATTATAAACTCACTTAATTTCTTCAAAAAAAAATTATAAGCTCACTTTGAGTATAAAATCACTTACATTTATTTAAAATTTGAACTTTACAAATTGTGCTCATAAATGAAATTATATTCAAAATTTAAAAAACATTCTCCTTTTTTATAAACTTTAATCTTTTAAAATTGATATTGGGAAATGACATGCAATGTAAAATCTACATTAAGGATTTGTCATATCATTATATAATTCAAATTTCTTTTTTGTAAGGTCCTTCTTTTTGGAAATTACAAAATTAGCGAAATATTTTGTTAAAATGCCAACTCTTGGTCAAACATTGATTTGGCTTCCCTCTTCTAAATCCCTTATTAGATAAATTTTCATTTCGATACTATAAACGTAATAATGGCTTGTTTTAATTTCAATTAATACAAATTATACTTTTCATATGATTTTGACATTTTTAATTAATAAATGAGAAATTAATTGGATATTAATTTGAAGTCCGAGCAGTGCCCAATTTTCAAACAAAATACTAATTGTGGACTTCGCTAATTTAAACCATAATTCTCGATATATTGTGATAACAAATAATTATTAAATTAAAAAACTAATATATTATAGAATCTATATTTAAGGTGATATTCTAATTGCATATAGTTAACTCATTCAATAAACAAATAAAAAAATAAAATGCAAATTTTAATATTTTGTTGATTAGAGTGGGGACTCATTTTTTTAATTACTGCATTTGATTCCAAGAACTTGGGCGATGATACTGAGTCTAGGGAGTAAGAACTTGAGTTACCTTTGCACTCTCCTTGTAAAAAAAAATTAAATATTTAACGTTTCTCGATTATAAATTTTAACTTGTAAGAATTTGTTCTTTTAGAGTTGTGCTCATAAATAGAAAATATTCTAATAATAATTTAAATATTCAAAATTTAATATTCTATGTAATTATACATATTTAATACATATTTTAAAACAAATATTGGAAAATAACGTGCAATAATGCAATATTTACTTAGAATGGACTTGTTTAATTATCTATTTCAAGTTTATGTGCTCCTCGTTTGGAACTTATGAAATTTGTGAAAAAAAATATTAAATTGATAAAGGTTCTATTGACTTTTTTATAAAGATAGTTGTAATTTTTGGAAAAACTAAAATCACGAATTCTTGTCCTATTAGCATTTATTGTCATGAATGAAAAAAAAGGTCATTCTTCCAACTTGTCACCACCAAGGTCTGCGGGCATAAAATTGGGGAAATTTTGGCTTCCTTAAAACAGATAGAAAAGTCCCACAATGTCATATTTTATATTTACTCTCTTGTGTAAAAGTCCCATATATGAGTAACTTCTTGATCTAAATTTTTGGGATCCACTTTTTTTTTTTTTGGGTGAGTAAGTTTTGGGTTCCACGTGAGATTGATTAGGTGAGTTTTAGAAATAAAAATAATTGAATTTTAAGTCTCCGATCTCACTGTTAAAATTCCACGGCTTCTACTCGCTGTTAAGGAGATTCCATCCCCAAAATTTGTGTCATGGAAATAGTTCTAAATAGGATTTTTAGCTGGGGGACCATATGCCCAAGGGAACATAATTCCATGACATTTATTTGCATGTATAGTAATTGATGTCGTAGACTGTACACTTCATGATAACAGGTCTTGCTATATAAATTTAAATTTGCAATCCTGAGCCTATAGCCAAACCTCCGAACACAATTCTACAGTGACGTGGTTTCAAAGGGACACACAATGTACATATATATAAAATACATACATACATACATATATATATTTTTCTGAATACCGTACCAAATGAGAGAATAATTATTTTTGTTGGAGCAGTGCAACATGATGTACCTCGAAATTTCTGCTATATTTTGGGAATTGTAATTTGCAGTTTGCTTACATCTTGAATGGCATCGTTAATAAATTATGTGATGGTTGATGCAGTGCCTGAATTAGGTTCTGATGAGATTTTCATGGTATGGAGGATTGATGATGTTGATCACAGTTTCTTCACCCAGCCTTTTCGGATCAAGTACGTGAGGCAGGATGTGCTCCTGTCTGTGATGATCTCTTTCAATTTAGCTGTTGGCATTGATGAGGTAAACATTAAGATTTGGCAGTTTAAAATGATTTTGTAAATGATACATTTCAGACTCAAAAAGCTTATTTATTTGTGTAACTTCAATGTTTATATGTCTAGCCTGTTGGCATGCCTTTTTCTCGTCTTTCTGCTAGGTTACTAATTCTTCAATTTTTCACAGAGTTCGTCGTCATCTTCTGTTATATTGAAATTTGAGCTACTCCATGCACCGATATCAGAAAATGAGTAAGTGAACATGCTGAATAATCATTTGCCATTAGACAATTGCATAACGTGTTCACAAAATCACAAGTTTGAGAGATACTGCTCTTTGCCTATTCATTCTCTAATGCATTCTTGTAATTTTGTGCAATGAGTTGGAAACCTGTGAGATATCCACTTTATACTAATTGAAAAAAAAAACTGTCATGATATAAAACTCATGCTATGGTTCCGAAACGTATTAAGTCGATACTATATTATTGTGCAGATCTGTGTTGCAAGCAGCTCTAGATGCATTTCCTGCTGCAGTACATGAACTCCGTGTTCCTCCAAAAGCTCTTCTTGGCTTGCATACATATTGCCCTCTTCATTTTGATTCCTACCATGCAGTACTCATTGAATTGAGCATACACGTTGTGCGTCTCAAAGCCGGTACTAACACAAACCAAAAGAAGGTACCCAGGTTTGTGCTCAGTCACCCACTTTACAAGATAAGGTCTGATAACAGCAGCTGCTGCATCTTCAGTTAATTGTCTTGAAATAACATGAGGAATTCTCTGTATTTCAGTGATTCTTCCTTGCTAGGAGTCGTTGCTGGTGAACATGATCATGGAAAGGATGGGAACTATCAAGTATGTTTTTTTGGGCATTATTTGAAGTTTGAACCTTTTTTGTTTGACTTAACTCTAAAGTTCCTTATCCATATCATTGTTTTGTGGTTGCTTAGTCATTAATTTTGTATGCTTTCCTTGATAAATAATTTTTAATATAGTTTGTACTTGAGAATACATTATTTATCAGTGTTGTGCGTCAAACTTTGCAAATTAATGTTTGATGATTTGTAGGAGATAATTAATCACTTGATCCTACTAGTTCTCAATAATTTTGCATCTAAATAATTTTGCTGCTAGTTCAATTGTATAAAAATTTTGAACCACTCCTTTGCTAGTCGAACACAATCAGCCATTGTTCCATTTTCAAATGGCATTTATAGAATATGGGATTTGTTTGACCCTCCAAAGGGTCATAAGAAAAAACCATGCACCTTTTTGTTACTAAATTTATTGGTAAAGGAATTATACTTTGGGAACTTATAATACTTCAAGCATAAAAAATAGCAATTAAGGTTAAACAATTTTCTGTGTAAAATTAAATAAATCCAAGAAAAGAAATTTTCCATCATGAAAAGGAATTTCTAATTTCTTCTATTTATAGAATAAATTATCAAAAGTTGGATAGGTCATCCAAATGAATCGAATATTAGAAGTTTGAGGATATGTGGATAAGTCATCCTGGTCTTCAAACAAAAGTTGAGAATTGGCAGAAAAGCAATGCATTGACGGGGTGGGCAGGTTTTGTTATTGGAAAGAGGAGATCAAAGATAATCCTAAAGATTGAAATAGAGCAGCATATGGTAAATTTCATGAAAGAAAAAGGAAGTCAAAATAATCCATAGAATATGAGCTAAACCGATAAGAGTGAGCAGAGAACTGAGTTATAGTGGAAAACATTGATATAACTTGGCAAGTAATTTAGTTGGTGCCAAAAGTTAAAGAGTGAAATGGTTGAAGGAGGGTGACTGAAATAACAAATCTCTTTTCTTTTCATAAGATGGTGAATGCTAGAAGCTGGAGCAACTCTTATCAACAATATAATTGTTACAGGAAGACGATTTCAAAGGCAAGATGAAGTGGCTAGTGCAAATATGGGCTTCTTTATGAGTTATGACTTTACATACAGCAGAGGAAGGGGGTTTCTCATAGCAGATGGTTGGATTTTGGATCTATTTCAGAAGAAGCTGCAATGGATTGGAGAGGGTTCTACAGAGTAGACGGTCCAAAGAGCAATCTTCCTGATGGTAGAGGCAAAGACCCTTGGCCATGTCGGTTTTTCTATGGATTTATTCCAAGAATATTGGGATATACTCAAGGAAGATATGATTACTATGTTTATAATATGAGGCACTGATTTAATAAGGGGCTGGAAACCAATTTTATGACCTTGATCTCAAAAATGGGAGGAGTGGAGGAAATCAAGGATTTTAGACAGATAAGTTCGCTGGGGAGTTTTTGTGCAAAATTATAGCCACAGAGCTAGTCTCCCACTTTAGCCTTGGAGCTCATTATATCCCCATACCAAGGTGCTTTTGTAAGAGGTTGATAACTCTTCGATTGAGTGCGTGTGGGGCATGAACGAATGCATACAAAGAGAAGGTAGACTGGGCATCATGGTCAAGATTAATATTGACAGAGCCTATAACTATGTGGATCGGGATTTTTTTGGACTTTCTTTTGCATGGTATGGGGTTTGGGGCCAAGTGGAGGAAGTCGATGAAGGCTCGTACTGCAACTTTTTCCTTTCTGGCCAATGGAACACAACAAGGGTTTTAGAAAATCTTAGAGGCTTGAGGTAGGCTTATCCTCTCTTTACTTTTCTAGTTACTATTATTTCGAAGGCACTTAGTAGATTGTTGGATAGACAAGGACCATGGGTTTGCATGTGGGCTTGCCTGGAAAACTTGAAACTCGTTATTTGGTGGTTTGGGAATATTTCTGGGCAAATGGCGAACATCTCAAAAGGCTGAGACTGAGCCTTGGAGTGCCCGCACTAACTCTAGTTAGGATTGTCTCAATATTGGAGTGTTGTAAGGTTTCATTGTCATCTTCATATTGGGGCTCCCTTTATTTTTTGGAAGCTGAAATGGAAATATGGCACCCCGTCATAGAAAAATACCAAAGGAGGCTAGCATCTTGGAAAAGCCAATTTTTGTTATTTGATGGAAGGGTCACTTGATAAACTCTATCATGAAAAGCAACCCCCTTTAATGATGTCCCTATTCCAGATGCCAGCGTTGGTGGTTGGAAAGTTAGAATGCAAAGGATTCTCCCATGGAAAGAATAGTGCTCAAAGTTGCAAGTACCATTTGGCGACGTGAGAGAAGGTTTGCCTACCTAAAGTAGTAGTGGACTGAGCATTAGAGAACTGGGACTGATGAATAAGTCTTTGTTAGTGATTTAGTGGGTTTTGAAAAGCTAGCTTTGGTAGCATTGTGATGGATAGATCTTCTTAGGTCTAATACCAATTAATGTAGGGAAAAGGGAGAAAGGGAATAAATTGATAACCAGAAAAAAGGGGTGAGAGAATATACCCTCTCTTTGGCTCTGCAAGGGAGTCCACTCTAAAAAAATCTTTTTGCAAGAGCTAGAGTAAATTGTTCTGCTCGGCTTTCTATATTTTATAGTTCAACTCTTTATATTTAATTTTCTTTTTCTGGTTAGTTTCGTTCTCCCTTTTCTGTGCATTAGTTAAGGAAGTAGATTTTATGATTTGCAATAGAGGCTGATTGTCTTTGGGATAGAATGTTAGAGAGTTTAAGAATGGGGGATGGGGAGGGGTGTGTATTTTGGAGTTTGGGTAGATCTTATGCTCTGGGATGTCTATGGAATCCTATTTAATCGTTGATGTCTTTCATAAGGCGGTTAGGTTTATGAAGGGGAGGGGAGTAGGGTTAGGTTTTGGCTTGTTGTCTGGGGTGGGAACGAGTCTCTAAAAACCTGTTTTCCTTGTATAGTGGCAGACTAGTACTCGTTGTTGATTTGCAGTTAAATGTTTGTGACTCCTTTGGGCAAGTGGGGATGGGGGTGAGTTTTTTTGGTATCTTAGGTTAGGAGTCTTTGGGGTGAGGTGTTAGAGTCTCTCTATCTGCTTCTTACGGAGTTAGAGTCAGCTTTCATCCATCTCAAAAGGTGATGGGATGGTCTAGTCCTTGTGCTCATTGAGCAGCATTATCATATCATCTTTCACTATGATTATGCTGGAGGATAATGGGAATGACACCGTTGGGAGCTTAATTTGGTGAAATGTGGCTTGTCCAAGATTCCCTTGATTTTGGTTTGTTGGTGGTACTCAAGAAAGGATAACATGACCATCTTTAGCACGGTTGGCTCCAGTTTCAAACATGTGTTTTCTGTGTTGGGATGCTGAGGACTCGAGAGATCGTTTATTAATTCGTTGCTCCTTCACTTGATTGGTTGGGGACTTTTTCATTAATCTCTTTGGGATGGGTTGGCTGATCCCCATCGGTTAGGGAGCTCTAGACAGGATAGAGGCTTTGTACATGCCAAAAATTTCAAATTCGCTTTGAAGGCTTCTTCAATTTGGTTGGGAAAGGAAAGCACGTTGGTGCTCGGCTGATTTGGGAGAAGACTTTGGGTTTTTCTAAATATTAAAATAATAAAAAAATATAAATGAAAAAGGAAAAAAATTGAAAAAATTAAGGAAAAAGCTGAAAAAAAATAATTGTTCGATTTGATGGAGAATATTGAATAGAATAGATACATGTGGGTTGAAGAACAATGGAATATTAAAGAGTAAATGACCCTAATTCAATTTAAGGAGCTATAGTTTTCAAGTTTCAAATAGAAAGAGAAATCCTTTCAAGCTTTTTGTTTTTTTTTAACTGACAAATCCTTCATTGTTTCCAGTGAGCGACTAGAAAAACCTAAAATCCCACTGTCATGAAGAGTTTAATTTGATTATTTGAACTTTGAAAGGAACAAGTAAAAAGTGAAGAACATAAAAAGAAGAAAAATAACAAATAGTGTTAGTGACTGACATAGTTTCAAAAAGCAGACCACCCATCGCCTAGGCAGCCGCCTTGGCGGATATCCCTGGGCGCCTGCTTGAACCCACCTAGGCGGCCACCCAGGGCTTGTGCCCCATCCAAGGGCGGAAATGTGGCTCCTTGAGGGTATTTTGGGTGATTTTTTAATTCTAAAGGGGCAAAATTGTGGGTTTTGGATTCATTTGAAACCTAAAACCCATTAGAGGCTATTTTAGAGAGAGAAAACCCAAAAAAAAAATTCTACTGGACCAACCAGGTTTTGGGCGCGAGCGCTTAGGCGCTGAGCGGCTTGGGCTCCCCTTACTGCTTAGGTGCCGCCTAGCACTTTTTAAAACACTGACTAACTGAAAAAACAAAAAGTTTGTTTTTCCTTTCTATGTAACTGAGACATTTTGGGTATTTACAATAATTTTCAGGGTAAAGTGGGGTGCTTTTGGTACTTGTAATAATTTTTGGGGTAATTTTTTGATACTTTATCCTTTCATTTTTCAGTTTAAAATGGACTTAATTATGTTGAAAATATTGATCACCCGCTGCCTAAATTGCCCATATAAACACTGTAAAAATTACAGACTTTGCCCTTATCCAATTCGGCCAAAGTGCACTCATTTGGCAGAATCGGCCAAGTCTGCCAAAGAGGCCGAAGGAAACTGAATCTAGCCAAAGTACTAGTGATATTCTTCGCATTTTTTTTGGGTAAATAAAAAAATGGTTTTACTTGTCTGAGCCCGGCTTTGAACTGGGGACCTCTAAATATTCTTCGCTTTGGCCTATGTGAAAATCCATGTCATTGGCCTCTTTGGCCGAAGCGAAGCGAAGATAGCAACATTGGTACACATCCTCAGAAAGGGAGGACCTTGTGGATGTTATGCCTCTCTGAAGTAGTATGAGGCATATGGAAAGAAATTAAAGAAATCAATGAGTACTTGAAAGAAGGCACTCATGTTCAATTGTACCGTGTGATTGGCAGCGGAACGAGCCTATTTTCTGGGTTGTACTGGAGAAGTTCCAAGGTGTTAGAGGGAGAGATTTGGGGAGCACTAAGGCTATTTTCAACATAAGCTCCTTGGGTAACCTCAAACCCTTAGGATCAGGTGTATTTTTCTTGTGATTCAGCTGGTGATTGCTGATGCAATGAGGGCAGTAACTACTAGCATTATTAAATGGCATGCGAAGTTTCCTTTGATTCTTCCAAGGGCACTTATACTGTAGTGTAATTCTTCTATGTAATTAGATGAGCTCAGCAAGAAAATGAGGTCTCATGGATATCACCAGATTATTTTGAGGAGGTCATTGATCTCTTGTCACAAGTTATATCATGTCATCATATTTGCAAAGAAAGAAATGGAGATGCCGATTGCTTAGCATAGCCCCAGGTGGGGCTGCCACGCCTCTTTGTTGGAGGGATGGATGCATCTAATGGAGAGATGACCATTAATTGTGTTTGAGTCTTTAATATTGTTTTGCATTTTGGCTCCTTTCTCTTACCCTCGTCTCTTCTGTTTGACATGTATGCATCTGTGTTTGTCTGCATCCTAGGATACAACTAGATGTAGATTTTTTCTAAGTTTCAGTTCGATGGTACTTATAACAAATAAATATTTACCAAAAGAAAATGAATTTGCTGAACTTGGACTCCTGCACCATCAGATAGGGAATAGTGGGGGCAATGTGACCTATGATAGATGCATAGAATGAGTGGGAGGCACGCACAAAAGCTTCATCAATGTCTATGGTGGGGGCTATTTACCACTTATTCATAATCAAAAGATATGATGATGGACAGGTCGCGGAATCAAATTACTAATAAAAAAAAAGCATTATGAACAAGCTTGAAATTGGTCTTATAAATATTTTTTCAAAGATTGGCTATTAAGTTTTCAGTAAGTTGGTCACAATCCATCCAACTTTAATGGTTCTTTAGAGATTCCACAAAACAAGGTTTTTAAACAAAATATTTGAGACTAATTTGTGAAATCACTATTGTTCGAGCAGTTTACAATGGATCACCTAGCAAATTACGGAAGATTGAGAAGTTTTGAGTATGGGTTGGTTTCCAAATTGCTGTTATTTTGGCTGGAACTTTTCTGCCGATTCTTGTTTAGTTCTTGTGGAAATGGAGATTGAAGTCATGAAAAGTCAATGGGCGAACTGCTAGAAGGATAAGGACTAAGAAAATTCAAGCTGAGAATCAATCATGCAACATTTTAGTAGAATTTGAACTTACTTGATCTGCAAGGGTTTTCTCTTCTATGACTTCCATATTTTATTCATATAAACCAGCCTTTCTTCATTAGATTTGTTAGCTTTGAAGTGATTTCAAGGGTGTTTGAATTGCCTGATTTGGATCTTTTCAATTTAAGGTTCATTACGGATTAAGTGGTGAGATGTTTGAAGGTTGAGCTGGCATCCAGTTTGACATTATTGAGATGGCTAAGAGGCTTAGAAAGTTTGGGAAGGTTTTTGAAAGGTCAGAATGGAAGTTGGTGTAGTAAGAATGGAGTTAATGATCATATTTTGGATTTGGTTTGCAGGTGGAGGAATAAGGAGCTTAAAATGAAATGCAGTCGAGTGCTGCTGATTATGTGCTAAGATTTCCTACTGTTTTGAATTTTATGTGCCTTGATGCATGAAATAGCACCTGACCTGGTTCCTGAAGAATTGTAAAAATTCAGACTATGCTTCGAGTGACAATAAGGTTTCAGATGCTCGTTGGTTTCCTTGTCTGAAGATTTTTCAAGTGCTTCAAAGTTTCTGATGGTCTTAGAAAATCTTGGCACTAATGATCTTAGTCTTGGGCTTTGGGAGATAATCTCTAGTTTTAAGATATTTTCAGAGACATGGATAAGTCTTTATCTGGTTTTCTTCGAGATTTGGTTGTGTTTTCTATTGGTGTATCTTTTGAAGGAACTGAATGCATTTGATTGCATATACAAATGTGTTACAATATCATGGAGCCTTCATTTATCAAGGGGCCTTTTTAGACATTGCTCTGTTAATATTGAACATTATTCGAAAATTTGGCCACCAGGCGCCTAGGCAGCTGGGCAGTCAAACCGCCTAGGCGGGTGCCCTGGGTGTCCTTGCTTCTAGGCGGCCAAGCTGCTGCCTTGGAACAACTTGGTTATTCTGCACACTTTTACCTGGACATGCTAGTCAGATGGGATAGAGAGAAGGAGAGGAAGAGTATATGTTACATTTTTCTACTCAGGGGGGCTTGTTTTACTATTTGGTGGAGAGAGAGAAAGTGTGTGTGTTGTTGCTTTGTTTACTTTTTGCTCAGCAAGTTGATCATATTTTTATGTTTGTTTTTTGCTTAAACCTGCAATTTTTCTTTGTAAGAGATTTGTTTATTTCATTGCCTTCGTGTTTGACTCTGGAAGGTATTATTTTGTCATGCACATTCGTGTTCCTTCTTGGCTTTCACACGTGGGTATTCCCTTCTCAAAAACAGTTTCCTGATTAGGAAAGCAGTAAGGAAACCCTAGCTTCTTTCTTATTAATATGTTGGCTTTTAACACTAGAGATGAGTAAGCTCCTAACTACAGACAAAGAAAACCACCTTACCAAATTTGGAAAGTCTAATGTGACACGTGTAAAGAAGCTGGTCCTTCATGGGCTGCTTCCTCCTTGGGAACCGACAGAATCGGTTACTTGTTTTTCATCTTTAAGGAGTTTTTTAATCCGTAAAAGAATGGAAGGATTTTGGGTGTGTGAGAAATAGAATCCCCCCAGTGATTAATGTTTCTTCCTATTGCCTCGTTTTGTGAACCGTACAATACTTGCTCCCTAGACCCCGCTTTTTATTTCATTCCTTCTCTATCTCTAAAATCTCCCCTCTCTCTCTCTCTCTACTAAATCGTGCTCTCACTTTACGCAGTTGTATCATGCCTTAAACCCCCCTCCCCAAATCCCAACCCCCTTTATTTTTTTTTTTGGGTTGGTGGGGTGGGGTTGGAGTTGTGCCCATCTCCTTGTTCTTGGGCATCTGCCTAGGTGTCCAGGCCCCCAAACCGAACATTGGTGCTGAAAACCCTTTCCACATTAGCAGAAAACTGGAAAGTTATCATGATACTTACTGGCCCTGCATACCATTGGAGTACTTGCAGTCTGATATATTGGGTTGCATTTTGAGAATCTAATACCCACACAAATTAATTTTTCATAGTTCTCACGTATGGTGTGGTCCACTGTCCTTAAACTCCAAAATGGTCACTTCACTTGGAAGGAAGGCCACACTTCTCATGGAATGTACTTCTCTACCTTAATAGTTTTGGAGCCTCTTGTAACATTTCTCAGTTGATTGAAACTAGTACATAAGTGGGCTGAGGTAATCTTTCAGTGCACCTAACAGAAACATGGTGTTGGTTTATTGTAAAAGGGTGTGATTGCAAAGCTTGATACACATCTATTCAACATCTAATTTGCATTGGCTCAGCACTCTTTAGTGGAACCCATGTTCACTTCTCTTGGAAGTATCTCCCTTATGTCCATGGTCAGAAAATCTCCAGATGTGCTAATTCAATCATTAGTCTTGTCGGATTTTCTTTAAAATATGTTCTATATTTTCGTGAGATTTTCCCTTTCCTATAAAAAATGATTCCCCCTTTTTTGTTCTAGTTAACTTATAATGTTTTAAAACATGCAAATTTATGAGTAATTGCAAATATTTACTTGCAAGAAAAGTGAGCTATAAATTGAGAGAAATAATAATAACATACTTATTATTTTCTATTATTTTGAAAAGTTATAGATGGCGTTAGTTATAATTTTCTTTTTCTACAATATTTCCTAGAGAAAAATAAAATCTTGAATTTCATATGCAAGATTGCCACACAGGCTTATCAATAACAAGAATTGTCACTATGTTCTCAGTCTGGTTTAATAATTCTTCACCTGTGAAAAATAAAACTTGGCTTGGGGAAACCCCCATGGACGTCATTCAAGAACAGTGACACTCTGTTTTATTTTGAGTATTCTCTTAAAGAGGTTTTCTTAATGTAACAACTAAACGAGTGTTATTACAAGGAAATGGTGAATTTGAAATGTGGAGGATCAACTCTGTCTGCCCTGGTTCCATAAGCATGTATTTGCTTTGCATGGAATAATAAATGCTAATGGTCATTTTGCAGACATCAATTTACTAGCAATAATTCAGGTGAGTGTGTATTTGTTTTCCCATAACGATTTGTTAAGAATGTAATTTTGATGTGAGATAGGTTACAACAACATTGTTGAAGTTTTAGAAATCTGTTTATTTCATTTCCACACTCTGTCTTCCTGTCCACTTTGAATTTCTTTTTTCTGTATATCTTATTGGAACTCTTCCGTTCCCTCATCTTCCACCATGAAGTCTTCTAAGCTTCCCCCTTATAATCTTTATGCTCGTTCATGCTTAGGTAATTGATGGTGTGTCATATGTGGGGACAAAAGAACTTGCGGTTATAAAAGCACTATTTGCTTCTCGTGCTACACTTTTGGAAGAACTACAAAAAATTAGCAAAGCAATTGATCAAAAAATCGATGATTTGGCTGATGCCAATTTGGATTTTGGTACAAATATGTCGATTAGTCCACGTACACGGTCATATTTGAAGACTTCTACTTCCCAGAAGTTGGAGCAAAGTCTGGGTGAGGTATTTGCTGTATTCTTGTTAAGTTTTATTTTTCTGGTCAGTTTTGTCCAGCTTTGTTTTTTGAATATTATCTAAGGGTTCATTTTCTCAATGCGATTTTTTTCACGTCTCTTTCATCTCATCTGTTCTTGATCAGAAGTCAAATGAACATGTTGGTTATGGGAGCAACGGGATGTTGCTCCCTTCGCTATCAAAGGAAGAACTGGTAGATGCATTTCAGACACTGGGAAACCAACTTTCTGTCATATGGAATGCTTTTTTGAAGTTTCATAGGTAGGTGTTATTTTCCAGAAACTTGTTTATGGTAAAGGTAGTGAGTAATTTCCATCCTGTGCATGTTAGAAGTCTGATTTGGTTCAGAAATTCTTATTGATCATTTAGGACTCTTCTCATTATTGACAAATGGATATCTGAGAGGTTTAATAGAACTTTTGACTTCAAAGTATTTTTTGCTTGCATTAACATTTCTCCATTAATACTCATTTTACTGTCATGATTATCCTGGTAGACAGGGCAGCTTGCTTTATTGCAGGAAAATTTGTCATTAGCTTGTATCATGTAAGCTGTGACCATCATCTGCAGTAAAATATCGTGAGCTATATAGTGAAGCAATTATGGTAAATAAGTTCAGACATAACTTATTTATGAATCTCTAACTAGTAGTTTATTGAAATGCTTAAACTGTAATAAAAGTTCGCGCTGCTGTTTTGTCCATCTATGCCAGTTTACAACCTATGCCAAAATGGGGGTCATCATCACAAAATTATCTTTTCAAACATCTTAGTGATCCCTTCTCTAGCTGGTATGTGGTGGTTTTGTCATGATCTACTGTAAAGCCTATGTTACTTTGGCATACATGTTCATGGTTCTTGGCATGTATTGAAACTCCAAGGGGATAAAACATGTATCTGGCACTAGACACTTCTGCTTAGTAACTATGAAAGTACTTAATGTCGCAAAAGACTCCTTTCTCCCCTTTCCCCCTTCCCTTCCCAACTAGACACTCACACATGCACAAAAGATCCATGATATATGCACCGAATGTGTCTCAAAGGACTTATTCTGTTTGGCGTTTCTGATGTGTGACCATGTCGTCTGTTAACACATGATTGTATTTTTGTTACATATCATATAACTTATTCATGCAATCTCAGGCTTGAAGCTCATAAAATATCATTATCTGGTAAATTCATGGAGATTTTCTTTTCCCATGCAATGATTCCTTGATGCTTTGCATTGGCTTACTCGCTGATACTTGGTGACAATTAGATAGAATTGTTGCCATAAATTGCATACTCTTTTGTCCTTCAAAATATTTATATAGGCAATATTTATTTTTCTCAAGATCAGTGTATGGTAAACTGGACTCACTCTAGGGACTGGCCTGTGCCCTGGACAAGTCAGCTAAATGAGTCCTGAGTTGGCTTGACGAGTCTTAAAAAACTAGGAAAGATCGTAAAAATGGGGGAAATCAGGAAAATTCCTGAAAATCTGGAAAAATGGGGAAAACCAAGGTATTTGACAAAAATCTTACATCTATGCAGCACTGCTGTTTTTTGAGGAGAAGAACATCTACAATTTTTTTGTTGAAAAGCAAGGTAAAAGTCCATTTTTTGCTTATTATGGAAAAGAATTCATTGATCTGCAAATAACCTAGCAGACTTATCTATAGATCTCTCCAGATCTGAGGTGTTTTGAGAAGAACCTAAGGCAAAATGAGATAACCTAGAAACTTTATGTTGCCAAAGGTTGCTGTTCTCTGGATTCAAATTATTATTTTTTTCAGTATTTTGAGGTTTGCAAAGTTTCTTGAGACAGTGAGGGGAATGAAAGTAGGGCGTCCCACCAATCCTTAGTATTAAAAAGTTACACCGTTTAAAATTGAAATTTAAAAAGTTACAAAAAAGAGATTTATTTCCCTGTTAGCCTGAATGTACGACTTCCTTACACTCCTCTAAAATTTGACGATTTGACAGTTGCTAAATGAATAGACTTTCCATTTCTTAGGAGAATTACATGATCTGTAGAAACAGAGTGTACGCAAATATTTACTTTCCATTTTAGGAGATGAATATTTACTTTCCATTTTAGGTGGATTACACATTGGGACTTGCTAAGCCTTTGTTGGGTAAGCTCACCAACTCAGGTTAGTGCAGCTAAAAACCCCCTGTTGTGTACCAATCCGGGAGGTTTGTTCAAAGCCAGGCCACCAGAGAATTGGGTCCCCCCCCTTGGATGCTGGTCAGTCCAAGTTACTCTGGTCTGACTCGCCAAGTTTTAATAATTTCCTGTGATCATAACTTTAAGACTCTTTCTTTTTCCTAATGATAAAAGTATCTCTCTTGTTGTGTGAAAGTTTGCCAATTTACCTTGTGAATTAGGAAAGCTCGTTCTCTAGTGCAATTCCATGAAAAGCATTTTAGTATGCTGATGTAGTTCTATATTAAAATGGGACATCCTTGGCAGATTTTGTCGATGCCTCACTTTCGACAATTCTTTAGGGTATATATATGGCAGTATGGAGTACTCCCACTCAAAAAAATTGTGCATGCTCCCTAGGGAAAAACATCCACTTAGGGGAATTTGCTTGATTTGAAATACCTTTGAATCGTAAGATGAATAAAAAAAAAGTTTTTGAGTTCTTAGACAACTAGATCGGACTGCCCAAAAATGGACAATCTGTGTTCACTCTCGGGTCGGAATTTGTTTCAAGCGAATTTTTGGGTGCGATTTCAACTTTTCCCTTTTTAGACTGGTTGCCAGGATGAGTGTATTACGTCCCCAAAATTTGGGTTCAGATACAACTCCCAAGTAGTTTTAATCTCGAGGGAGTAAGTGTACGTTTTTCCTATGTATTGCCTGGGATTGGGGACCTGGGAAGTTGGTGTTTTGAATCAGCACATGGGCTTGCACCCAATGTGTTGCTGTTTTCTTCGTGAATGCCATCACCTGAATAGGCCTAGGCCCATTGTGTATTGACCTGACCTGAGCTGGACAGCCTCAGTCTCAATAGTCTGCCCCTTTATGGTTATTTGATCCATATGATGGCTGGCTTTATCAACGTCTAAGTGGCAATGTCTCGGCCCATAGTTTTCCTATTCCAGCATGTATTCTTCATTGCCATCACCATATAGTTTCCCTTGTTTCTGTCGAATCATAAAAGAGCTCATTCTCGAGGTTTCCCATATCCGCAAGCATAAGCCATAACGCGTTCAACATTCAAGAAACCAGCTTGCCACACGACCATGCAGTGGAGGTATTTACAGTGGTGCATACTCATGTTGCATTTCATATTTCTCAATCCTCTCCTTATTGCCAATCTTGGAGGATACATTAACATCTTTCCCCTCTAGACTATCAAAAGGGTTTTCTGACCTTCAGTTCCCTATAAAAGAGGTGAGGGGCACATGTCACGAGGGGCTCATGGATGTTCCTCTTGGCTTTGAATGACATTATTTCTTCGGGCACTCTCTGGAGGATTCACCCTAGGTGCTAGAGAGTGCTTCTGATCTCCCCTCTGGCGGACTATGTAGGTATCTCAATAATGCTAATCTTTTAGCATGAATGAGGGGTACTTTTAAGGTCATCATCTATTGTGGAGCAAAAGAGGGAGGTTTTAGAGTCATCACCTTCATTGTCCAATGTGCATTAAGACAATAGACACACATGTAGGAAAAGTTTATATAAGGCATTGACCTTATACTGTAGATGTCAGTTGTACCTCAAAAACCCACTGAAAAAAGTTGTTTTGATGCCAGAAAACCCTCAAATTGATCATCTTAACATTGATATGTATGGATATGCCAAAAAACGAAGAAAAAGAGAGAGTAGGATTTCAAGTCATAAACAATACTGCATCTTGTAACACATCTTTTGGACCATACATTTTCAAGATTTTTAAGCGTTAATAGATCTGTCGATCTCCACCATTTTTGGAACTTTAATTTTATAATTAGAGGTGGAAATAAAATTTCAAGTCATCGTAGGGGATTCTAGTACCAAAGATGCCTTTTTCAACAAAATTTTGGGATGCTCCTTTGATTGTTTAAGGTTGATGCACTATGTAAATCGCACCCCTGTGTGTGTGTGTGCACTCGCATATGTGTCTGTGTGTGTGTGTATGTGTATGTCTGTATATAGATGTATGTGACTTCCAAATCCCTCCATTTGTACATAAGACATTTTTTAGTAAGCTTTATTAATAGATTTAAAAATCTTCTACCTTCGTTAATCCAATCCAATTTTTTAAATTATAAAACTAGAGATACGAAATATGAGCGCCAAATAAAATTGAAAGTTAATAAAGTTTTTTGAAAGTATAAAATGCAGAGAAGAAATAGGACTACACAAATAAAATGGAAACTTGAAAAATGTTAAGAACCAACATAAATGTTTTTTAAAAAGGTATAATCTAGAAATAATAAATACGGGTATCAAAATAAAATGAAAAATTGAAAAAATGAAGAACTAAAACAGGAATTCCTGCCAGCCTAGGATTCCCCATTAAACTATTTGATATGATACTTATACATAATATGTAGCTATATTAGAAAGAAAGGACACGGTTTTTATGTAGGCAGGACTGCATGTGGTCCCTGCATCCAACACCGACCAACTAAGTTGGACGGTGGGGATTGTATAGAGACGGTGCTATCTGCACCGTCCAATTAGGTTAGACGGTGCAGATGGTTGGCTGGTATGCTGGCCAGCCACTTAAAACAATTTGCCTAGAAAGAAAATGGAAAAATGAAAAAAATATAAAAATCAAGTTAAATATAAATGATTATATAAAATTTTGATAGAAATTAAACAATTGTGGGGATAATATCACATGACTTAAAAAGATACATTGATTTTTCATTTAGAACACTTTTGAAGAACTGTTTCGTATCTAATTTCTCAACAAACCTATTATGCAAGAGATTTGCCATCAAGTCTTAAGAGTGTGTGTGTGTGTGCCTTTCAAATATCAGGCAACTTGATGCTATCCATGGTAGTTGTGCTTTTCACTTACTTTGAAGTGTCATTCATTTAGTTTGTTACCTTCTCTAAGAAAAAAGGTTCCAATGCACATATATGGCACATTATAAAGAACTCAAAATCAGTCTTTCCTTTTTTCTGTTCTATCTACTGGAGGACTTATCAACCTTCTATCGTATTCTTTTTCCATTCTTCTGTAGATGGCTGTTCTTCAACCTGGTGCATCATGTAACGCGTTTGGCCTCTTGGCTTTGTGTCAAGGCATTATTGCAGGGAAACTACAATGTTTGGATCCGCCTGCATCACGTCCAAAATGGGTGAAAGAGAAGGATGTGACTTAGATCATTATCATAAATTAATATTATGCTTCTTATCCAATGATTTCACCCACATGAATAATCCATAGCATTAAATTGGGTGGTTGAATGCTACCCGAGAGTCCTTTCTATCTAAAAATGTGATCTTTTATGGAAATGGGGTAATTTTAGTAAACGCCTATGTATTCTTGCTGCCTGAGACATGATCTAATATTCATTTTAGTATGTCATTGAAGCAAAATTGGAGTTTTGATCGTATAATGCTGTGTGGCAAGCATCGATGCATTTTCATTAATCTTTTCCTTCTATGCTATGATCTTTTGTGGCGACTATGATAATTTGTTTGTTTGTTTGTTTGTTTTTTTGTTTTTAAATAATTTGTATAACATGACTATTCTTTAAAAACGAAAAAGAGAAAAAAGGAAAAGAAAAGAAAACGATGATTCCCACTCTTTGCCCTAAAATGTGAACCCTAACCATTTAAAAGTGAAATGTTTAGCAACAATATCTACATAATTTATAGCCATCGTGAAATGAAGTTCTACTGAGCATGTAGGGTAAATCTCCAGTTGAAAGTGTCTATCCATCATAAGTTTAGTTTGGATTGTGTGCATGGAGTTACCATTTTGTATTATTTCTCTCTGCCAACTCGTTTCTTGAACCTTGCTTATAGACTCATGGTCAGTGCCTCCTTTTATCTTCTTTGGTTTTTATTTGATGTTATGTTTGAATCCATTGGAGTATATGTTAGTTCTACTTTGTGTTGCTGTATTTTTAAATTCAGTAATATATGCTACCAAAGAATGTTGATTTCTGGTTCTATTGTTCCCTTGTTTTCTCACATGGGCTGTTAAATTGGTTTTATGAATAGTTCACATGTTGGTTATTTTTCCAGAAATAATAGAATTCGTATAGTGGAGTATCTTCGTGGCGTATGGGCCAATGATCGAAGAACTGAATGGGCAATATGGATGGTCCATTCCAGAATGGAGGTACATAAGCGGATGATGAATGCAGTCGATGATGCTTCTCCTTATGCAGTTCGTGGGAAAATCTTGGCTGCTAGGAAACCTAGTGAAGACGTATGTTTATCCTCATCCAAACTAGTGACATTATGCAATCTTATTTGACATAAACATATCATTTTTTTGATTGATCACAAGTCCCTTTTTGTAGTGACAACTTATCATAAAGGTTAAGTTGATTTCCAAAAAGAAAAAGATAAAAAACCTATCTACTGTGAAGAAATTTTTTGATATGCATATGTGGTCATCTATACGCTCCTACTTCTATCCCTAAATGATGAATTCTTTGATTCCTTTGTTTTGTCAGCAACTCAACACTATCTTTGGAATCAATAAAACAAAAGATTTACATCTCAGCCTATCTCTTGTTTGCAGCCATCACATGTTTCAATTTCACGTGCTGAGCTTCATCGGAAGAGTATTGCTCAAATGAAGGTATATAATTATATTTTTTAAACTGCTTGTTTCTGGTTCAAAACTTATGTGATTGTAATTAGCTCTAGGAATTAATTATATTTGGCAATACACAGATTAACAGCCAGGCAATTCAAGACTTGCATATATTTGGTGACCCTGCCCGCATTCCCATTATTTTCATTGAGCAGACTACAATTAAGAGTTTGGAGCAGAATACCGTTAATGGCAGCTCATCCTTTGGCAATTTGGATAAAAACGAAACGTCCATTATACCAATCCTGGGGCATCCACTTGTGCCCAAGTCATTTAGTACCTGTGGCAGAAGAAATGGACGGGTGTTGAAAGCTGTTGTCTTTGTGCATGGGTTTCAAGTAAGTGTCCCTACCCTTTACCCCTAGATTAAAGAGCTTTTTGAACATAGTAATTGCCTTTTTCCTGCTATTAATATTTGTAGCATGTTCAGTTGCATCATATTCATGGATATGTTTGTGTGTAACATACAGAATCGGAATTTATCTTGCATTCTCCATAGTTTGCTATGTCACCTAATGGTATAGAACTAATTTCACATTTGATCAGACAAAGCAATAGGGAACTTTTGCCATTTAAATCGAAGCACTTGATGTTGATTTTATGTCATCAGGCAACAATCACATACCAAGATAGTAATTATGGATTTTCATCCCCAGCTTATCATTACCAAATTGAAGCATTCAAATCTATTGGAGAATCAACTATAAGACATGCGGAATGTAATGAGCGAAATTAGCTTAAAGTTTCCAACCATTTAGAAAAAAACCAATTTTAACTGTCTCTGTACGATCACAATTAATTGATGTAAATCGCAACACCAATGCGTTGTAAGTATGGGGGAAAAATGGCGTTTTTGTACTTTTTACCCCCATCCGCATTAAGTGGTGTTTCATGCTCAAGCAAAGCAGATTTTCTGTGGCAATCAGTCCCTCATCAAAAGTTCCTGTACCATCACTTCATATGCGATCTAAATAGGCACTAGAAGAATGCTAGTGTACTATAGGATGTTGATATACTCCATACCAGTGTTTGAAAAATCGGTATCCCCATCCGGAATCGGGTATCGGCCAGATCTTTTTGGATCTACTTAAAAAACGGATTCTGGCCATTTCAACATAGGAGCCGGTAAGGTGACATCACGGATCGCTATGACTGACTTCATAGATCGAAGTGAACTGGACATTTTCACTGATTCTCGCCAAATTTTATTTATGTTTTTAAATATCTTGCACACTTGGCCACTATGTTTAATCCTCATCATTGCGCCATGCTCATCATTGCTTATTCCTAAAAAGCTGTCTCTGGGGCTCATGTAATCGTCTTTTTTAGAGCTCCATGCCTCTCACACATGGAAGCTCATTTACCTTATGATGATTCACTACCTTTTATACCTATATTCCCTACTCAAAATCTATGATGTGGGATGAATCCCTCTTGCCGTCACATCTATAAGCCCCAACACCTACGTCTAAGTCCCAATACCTTGGTAATTAAAATGCTTTTGGACAATGCCATGTTGGAGGAGTAAGCTCTTGAAATATCTTCATCTTTGTAGGCCAATAATAATAATATTACGAGTAAAATATTTATTTTAATAAATGTTTTATATGTAAATTTGCCAATAATGTTCTTGTAGGATCATATCGTATAGCAACTGTTTGAGTTAAAATTATTATTTAGGACTTTTTCTTTTTAATTTAAAATTTTAGAATCCATTTAAGCAAGGTTTTAAAATTCGCCAAATTTTTTTTTTTTTGAATTTTAATATCTTTATTTTTCATTTTTTAGGGGAAAAATATTTTTTTGAATTTTTTAAATGTCTTAACATTAAAATTTATAAGGGATTTTATTTTTATTTTGAATCATATGATATGGAAGCGTTTTCTAATTATTTTTAATCATGTTTATTATATATTATAATTAATAATTATAAATTGATAACCAGATCTTGTATTTTATTTATTAATTTATTGGCATTACAAATTATGTAATGTATTAATTTTTCTTATAGTTGTAAATAAGATGTTTTAAATTAGTTGATATTATGAGACATTTTAGATTTGTTCTTAATTGTATAGTAAAATAATTGCACAATATAAACCAATACTTCAATTTCAGTATTAATATTATTATAGTTAGTTTGGTTGTTATAATGTTGGATGAGTAAAGCGATTAATAAATTGATACTTTGATGGGATACTAATTTCACTTAATATGGGAAATTATTTTTTGTAATCTTATAGTATGAAGTGTTTTCTAGTATTTTTAAATTATTTTGATGCAATATTTTACTACTATATTATAGTTTACAAATAGCCAGACAAGAAAACGTCTCAGTATTTACCTATTTTTACAAAGTAATGAAAGTACATAATGCAACATTCTTAGTTTCTTTTAGAAACTAAAAGAGCACTATTTTTGGAGATTTATAGTGATTTTTTGAAAAATATTTGGGACAAAAATTGTCAATTTGGCCGATTCTCTGAACTAATCCATCGATTCACCGATCCGACATGGGTATGGGTGACACCGATTCGTGCCACCGATCATTTTTTTTTAACACTGCTCCATACCTAAGCCAACGAACAAACAATATTGCACATCTAGTTGATTTAAGACCAACACCTAAACAATGAGGATACTAGTCTTTCCATTGCAGGTCGAGGTACAAGGCTATTTGTTTACCAAGTCCATGATTTTGGATTTTTAAATTCTTAGTGTGCAAACTCTTTGCATGTGTAAACTGTAATTTCTTCTAATGATATAAAAAAGGTAATTTCTTCTATTTATTGCCATTATTTTGGCCTGAAGTTACCCAAAGCTTCTATCTAGGATGGTAATGCTTATTATTAGAGATAAATGGCCCTTTATCGTGGAAGAGACACATTTTACTACAAACAAGTTTTACTTCAAAATTTTAGACTAGGCCTACTACTAAATCCTAGATATGGTGTGCCATATCTCTGCTTTCGGGGTCGGAGTTATTGTTGGGTGAGTGTGGCCATTAAAGGCCTGATTAGTGCTTGTAATGAAAACATTTGATATAATAGAATATGAACTCAGTGGGAGTGTGGTCCCTCGTGGACCATACTAAGCAAATAACAATTGCTGATACCGAATTGTGCTTGACTGTCTAGGCCAGTCGGTTGGGAAAAAACTATGTTACCAGGGCATAGAAAACTATCCGATAAGGGTTCTAATAGGTCATCCCTTGATGAGGTCGGAGTATACCCGGATGAGTGAGCCGAGGGACTGTGTGATGGTGGCCTTCAGAGATGGAGTCAAAGCCTCATTTATATACCATCACACGACAAGCATAATGATAGCAGTTTCGAGAAAGCGAATCACTTTTTAGGGTGAAGCTTATGCATGTGTGAGAGATACTCCTATGCGTTGTAGGAGCTGTGGTCGCATCTGGTCTAGGTGACTTTGGCACGTCTCTCAGGGAGAACTTGAAATCCACAAATTGGGATTACGACCCCTTGGCTCATCAACCAGACTTTGGTGAATCCACTAATGAGCCCCTGCATGGACTGTGGGTCATGGGAAATACTGGGTCTGTTGATAAAGCAAGTGTGGACCATAGTCCACAGTTGAAGGTAGAGTGCCCTAGATTGTTTATTCCTAGACCATATGGATCCTTATCCCATCTAATGAATTTAATTGTGTTTATTTTATGATGATATGATTTTAGAATTATTATTTGAATTTTTCTAGATCTCTAGATATTTTATTTATAAAATTTGGATATATAAAAACAGATATATTGATTTTTAATGTTTTAAATATTCAAGTTAATCCTAAAATCATTTACTAATATTTAAATATTTAAAAATAGCAATGTGGGCCCATTGGTGGGGGGCCACCCCAATTTTTTGGGCTTCTTATTCTGATGGGGTGGCACACCCCACTTTTAGGGGGTTTCCTACCTTGTTGGGATAAGTTGTTAAGAGTGATAACTTTGGCTTGAATGCCTAGTTATTATGAGATAAGTGTTTTTATCTTGAAGAAGATCTGAATGAATCTTTTAAAAGGCTTGATAAGGCTTATGTATATTTTGGATAAAGCACAATATTATGATCAATGCTATCTTATTCAATTTCTATTGATGGGATAATGGTCAAACGAAAAGGGGATAATGGTTCCAACACATTATGTAGCATGTTGATGGCCCATCTATGGAATGGAGGGTTCAAATCTCTCACCCCACAAGTCACCCATGATCAACGGTTCATATTCAATCCACAAGAAGAGGCAAACCATAGAAAACCCTTATCCTATTTTTAGCACTATAAAAAGAGAACCCCTTGCCCATAATTCTACACACATCAATTTCTCTCTTCTCTCTACATTTTTCTTCTCTCTTGATAGAAAAAAGGGAGGCATGCCCCACTTTTTTGGAATAGGTCTCTGTCTCTCTCTTTAGATTATGAAAAGGGGCATGCCCCAATTTTTGTACCTTGTCTCTCTCTCCTTCATCTTGCATTGTTGAAAAGGGTTGGGTAGAATTACCTACTTTGTTGCAAGTAGATGTCATATTGTTTGAAATAGGTTTTATGGGTTATTACCTAAGTTCGAATTTTATGATCAAGAGGAGTTCATAGTTACATTAGAGGGTTTGCCTTGAAACTTGCTTTCCCATTGAGATTGAAGGTTGATCGTTGATCCCGCACCTTCGGATGGTAGGGACTCGCCGTGGGGTGTAATAAGCTTGGGCGAGGTAATCTCCGGCATTATTCTTTTTACTTCTTGTTTTTACAATTATATTATCTTTGCATTCCCAAGTAGTGATTATTTTCTTTGCTTAAAGAAAATTAGTTTAATGGCATCAAGGTTTTAAGATCTTGGATTTGTTGGTTTTGCTTTTATTTTCTTGAAGCAAGAATTATTGTAACAAGACCGCTTTAACCAGCTAAGTACTGGTCCTTAGGAACTTGTCTTCTCATATCATATATGTCAGCTAGTGTGCGTTAAATCATATTTGTCTACAAGAGTTTTGATTTATATAGAAACTTTGTTCTCAAAAATTGAAATGTGGGAAGAATGAGTAAAAAAAATCGTCAATCTGGATTGGGTATTGCTGATCTGGCTCGGGAATCAGCATGTTTATAAAGCCAAAGTTTCTGAAATTTGTTTTAGATTGCTCTTACTTTAGCCCTCTATTTGAGTATCTACAACATTTTTTGCATCAGAACAAATATTTTTGTCATTTTTTGCATCAGAACAAATATTTTATGAGATCTAAAGATACCAACTTGGGGTATTTTTGAATATCTGAGCTCGAATCTGAAGATTTTGGACTTTTGGACTGCAATTTCTTTAGGGATTCTTGTTTATAGTGTCTTAGCAACATTCTATAACAGGTACTTCATATTTTTATATAATTTTTGTATGGATTGGAATTTTAGTTGCTTTTTTTTTTTCTCGTAAATAAACCTTGAATTTCTATGAGTTGGTGTACAAATCATATTTTTTACGCTTGATTTCATTAGAGTTTTTGTTATAGAGAACAAGTTTTTGTTAATTTCGTATCTGATTTTGTTAATTTGGTCTTTTTCTTTACACAAACAACCTCACATAATTTTTAGGATATTTAGCGATGCGCATCTTTTTTATTTGAGCCCATATGTCCGAATCGGCTAGATTGCTGAACAGGATTGCCACTTATCTGATCCGAATAGGCTAGCAACCGGCCAGTTTACCCTACTGATTGATGCAACCCCGATGACAAAACATGAAAATTAAACAATCCACAAGCAAACGAGCACAAATTTGAAGAAACCTTGGTTTTCTTCTTCCAAACCCTAACTAGGGCTCCAAGCAAAAGCTTCCTTCTTTTTCTTTTATTAAAAAAGATGAATGTCTCTCTCCCACTATTTGCAAAACCGGCCGGGTTGACCTGGACCCAGCCGAATTACCTGGACCCGCCCGTTGGGTGACCCAGTTTTGGCTGGTTTTGGTGGTGAAGCTGGGGATTATAAAAAAAATTTAAAAAAATATTAAATATCTATAAAATAAGAAATTAATTTGTAATGTGTTTCTTTTTATGTTTTCTAACATTTTGGCAAAGATTAGAATGTGTTTTGGCCATGTATACTTATTTTTACATTTTACCTTCTTTTTGGATTATTTCTAAAATACCCCTGGTCATAAATTGATTTTTCAAAATGTAGTTTTATACTACTTTTTTGGCCTCATTTAGATGTGCTGTTTAAATCTATTTTAGACATAGTTGTCATATTTTTTGGGACTTTTTTGTATTTGTTTTATTTTTTTAACAATTTTTTGGCCATGCCAGGACTTGCCCAAATTGGCCAGGTTCCATTCCTAGATTTTGTTTTCCTACATTGCTCTTTCCTTTACACACACTTATTTAAACATAACTGAAAATAAAAAAGTCAATTATACCCTTGACTTAAATAAAATTGACATGTAAACCCAACTTAAAGTTAAAATACCTTATATGCCCTTCACTCATTCCAAAATAGAAGAAACTATAGCCAATGTTTCAAAACGTGCTAGGCGGCACCTAGGCGGTCAGGGGGGTCCAGGCCGTCCAACACCTAGGCGAGTGCCCAGAACCTGGGTGGTCCAATAGATTTTTTTTTTTTTTGGGTTTTCTCTCTCGAAAATAGCCTCTAATAGGTTTAAGCTTTCAAATAACCAATTTTGCTCCTTTAATATTAAAAAAAGACCCAAAAATACCCGAAGGAGCCACATTCCGCCCCTGAGCGGGGTGCAGGCGCTGGGCGGGTACCTAGGCGGGTTTAGGCCGGCGCCTAGGGATATCCACCTAGGCGCTGGGCGGTCCGCTTTTTGAAATAGTGACTATAGCTAAAATAAAAATAAACTGAAATAACTAAGGCAAACATCCTTGATTGGTGCTTGTTCTTCTTATTCTTGGTAGCTTGTCTTGGGTTCGAATTCTCCTAATAGATACGTGCGCTAGGAGGAATCTGGTATTTCGGATAGTGGATCATTCTCTCTTGGAATATAATTCTTGTCATTACTAATCCAGGTTTTAAAACAATGTGTGCAAATATTTTCTCTTTTCTTTTTTTAGCACTGCTTGGATTGCTTTATGAGCAGCCTTTGGGTTATTCCATATCTTGCTTGCTTTTATGGAAAGCAACATACCTCTCTCTCTCTCTCTCATGTATGTACGAGTGTGGAAAAAGATTATAAGCCAGTGGGCATATACTGTAACATCATCCAATTTGTGCTAGACGTGTTTGTGGAAAACCAAATTTTACACACATGCTCATCTTACCAAAAAAAGGGATTGCATTGCCACTAAAAGAAGTACTGAGTCTGCATTTTTAGTGAACGAAGGATGTCTATTTGATGGACAGTGGATCTTGGCCTTCAAGAACTCAAAATCATTTTCAAATTGTCAATTTTTAATCAAAGTTGTTAATTTCAGCCCAAAAGAAAAATATCTCTAGGTATTTAGTTTAGCTGATGGGCTTATACTGTATCATAAACACATGGGATCATAGGGTCTTCTTACACGCACAAATGCACGTACATGCACACACACGCGCGTGCACACACACATTTGGATGGATGGATGGATAAAGGAGCATCCAGACAAATTGGAGTCCACCACTAGATACCAGACAAATGTAGAACATATTTTATACATTCTGCTGTGTGGTGCATCACATTCATAGGACATGATAATGACATGGTCCTTTTCGTGTATAGTCTTTGGTGGTGGGGGTGACTCCTGATTGGTAGATCCTTATACAAGTATTAATTCAGAACTCCAAATACTGAGATATGTCATATTCAAGGAAAGTGTTATCTTGATGTGATTATTTTTCTGCTGAATTACTGAAAGCATTATAGTTGGTTGTGTTGGGTTCAATTTTCAGTGTGATCACCTTATCAAAGTTATTTCCATGCATATTTTATGCTAGTAAATGATTCTATGCATATGTTAGTATGATACGTAGATTATGTTGCTTTTGTTTTCCTTAACACGATTCAATAAATAGGGACATCATCTGGATTTACGGCTTGTTCGGAATCAATGGCTTTTGATAGATCCAGGAGCAGAGTGTCTTATGTCTGAGGTGAATGAGGAGAAAACATCTGGAGACTTCCAAGAAATGGGTGGGAGGCTGGCTGAGGAAGTGGCTTCATTTCTCAGGAAGAAAATAGATTTAGGTTCACGATCTGGACCCTATAGAGTTGTGAAGCTCAGTTTTGTAGGACACTCTATAGGGAACATCATTGTCAGAACTGCCTTAACAGGTACCATTATTACAAGGTTATATATATATACACTATGAGACCATGTACCATTATTACAAGGTCACAATCACTCTTAGCAATTAGATATCAAATTGGATGGCTTGGGGTGTGTCACTAAGTTTGAGAAATTTATTTTGAACTTTGAATTTAATCTATTCAGTGACACACAATAACTCGATTTAAAATCTGATGGACGAGTAATTATGACCTCCTTATACTAAAAGAAGTAAATGATCTGTTTGTATACTTTTCTATATATATGTATATATATTCACCGTTTTACTTTTGTTTATATATATATTCACCCTCTTACTTTGTTGTTCTTATGATACAAATTGTTATTATCTCAGATGCTGCAATGCAACCTTATTTGAAATACCTCCATACATATATGTCTATATCTGGACCGCACTTGGGGTATTTGTACAGTTCAAACTCCTTATTTAACTCTGGCTTGTGGCTCCTGAAGAAGCTCAAAGGAGCTCATTGTATGCACCAATTGACTTTCACTGATGATGCTGACATACAAAAGACGTTCTTTTATAAGCTCAACAAGGTAAGGTTTCAACACTCAGACAGATGGTACTTTCTTTACCACCATGGTCACCGAGAGAATCTGATAATATGACATAAGAAATGGATATTGTCCACTCCAGAGTAAACTGCTGCAGTGTCTTCCCTAGTTCAAAACAATGCTAGGGGTGCCCTTTTGACCACTGGAGGTTTGCTCTACTTAACCCAGGGGCTGAGAACCCCCCAAAGGAGAAAAATAATGCAAAAAAAACAAAAAAGAATCAACACCCTAGAAGTGCCAGAGAAATTCCCCACCCAAACAGTGAATGTAGACCACTTATTTTTTGGTCAGGCAAATTTAGGTCATAAATGTAGTTTAAAAAAAAAAAATTGGTCATAAATTACTCTAGGTTAATTTTTATTTTGAAAATTGTTCATCTTGTGATGAGGCAATCTAGAAATTTTAGGGTCAAATAAATCCTCCTAGGGCCTTGATTAGAGCTTATTTTTGAACAGTCGAATTTAGGTCATAAATGTAGTTTCAAAAAAAATAAAAAATTTGTTCATAAATTACTCTAGGTTGTTTTGAAAATTGTTCATCTTGTGACGAGGCAATCTAGAAATTTTAGGGTCAAAACAAATCTTACTAGGGCCTTGATTTAGTGCCATTTTTTATCTTTTCTAATGAATGACCCATATTTACTGCATTTTCTCTCTCATCAGAAAACCATTATCTGGGTTTCTCCTTGATTTTTTTTTCATGAACTTGTTCTCTTGTCTGAAAGATTTTATGAGCGAAATTTGGGCTCAAAACCGATACTCGTAAGGGCCCAAAGATGGGGTAGGGTAGATTCTGTTGTGGTCCACCCTGGGGCGAGCTAAGTCTCAAAACCGATACTCGTAAGGGCCCAAAGATGGGGTAGGGTAGATTCTGTTGTGGTCCACCCTGGGGCGAGCTAAGTCAATACCTGGGCAGCACAAACAACTTTTGCCTCATCTACCAATTTCACAGAGACAGACAGACCCACGAAGAGAGAGAGAGAGAGAGAGCGAGAGAGAGAGAGAGAGAGAGAGTAGTAGTGTAGTATAATAATTACTTTTATTATTTAGTAAAGTAGTATATTACTTAGTGTACTACCTACTTTCGTTTCGTTATTTATTGTAGTGTATATA